ATACAACTTAGAAAATATCATTTTAATTGATGATGGTACAATTATGTTCCCTGACTAAAGGTACTGAGATGTACTCTTGAGGGTACCGCCCCAGTGACAAGAGGGGTACTGTCCCAGTGACAGGTGAGGTACTGTCCCAGTGACAGTTTCATACAAAATATTTTTTTCTTTGGGCATTATTTTACTACATGTACCTCTTCACCATAAGTTTAATTCAAAAATATGTTTTAGGCCAAAAAGTGTATCTCAAAACTATCATAAAAAATTGTCTCAGGCATCAGTCAGCATATTTGTGACCGATAACAGATCATTTCAGATCAAACCTTAAAGATTTTAAATCATGCAGACATTTTGATAAAATGGTCAAATTTCCCTTTAATTGTTTTAGAATATAGGGAGTTTCTTTAAACAAAGTTCTTGTATGGTTCTTGTGTGGTAACACTCCAAAGAACCCTTTCTGGCACCTTTTTTAAGAGCATAGAACCTCAAAGTAAAATGAAGGTTCTAAAATGTTTCTTGTATTTCATGTATAACTCTATACAATTCTTAATACTCCCACATGCCATTTATTCCCTACATGATCCTTCACTGAAAGGTTCTTAACGGGAATGAATGTGATTCTTCCAACAAAACCTTCTTGGGTTTTCAAGAGTGTAGAACCCAAAGGTAAAATTGGTTTTGTGAATGATTTTGTAGCTTGATGAAAATTTCATTATTCTGTAAGTTGTCACACTGGCTGAGAATGCAGGATAACCATTGAGTGTAAATTACATTTCACACTGTGTTCTGGCAGAGGGGACAGCCGCATGAGACATTGTAAGAGCGTGACATTCTGAAATAGCACACAGAGGAATAGCACAGAAGTGAGACCTCATCTATAACGCCTGTGCCAGAACGCACAACTCATCTCTGTTGTCAGGAAACTCTGTTATGCTAATGTGATAAAAAAAAATGCTCATTGAAAATAATGTAAATGTACCCTCAGAGGTAGAACAATGGCCTTAAGCTTCAACTGTACATTCTAAATGTTAAATTCATTAGCTTACATGTAGCAACATTCACATTTTGACTCTTTGATGACCTCGTAATGCAGATGATCCAGTAATATTCTAGAGAAAAATGTTCATTGGACAAAACATATCAGCTTTGGGACATTTTTGATTACCATGGGATGCAACAGAGGCAAAATTCCTTTTAAACCCGAAGGCCATATGGGCATAAGCTATGGGCATAAGAGCATGGTACCGACTACAGAACGAGGACACGACTTCAGTGGTCTATCAGCGCGACAGTGTACGCTAACTACATCACACTGGACTAGGTAATATCAGATACTGAAATGGGTGCATTTGTTGCAAGTTCAAGTAAATGAGCTTTGTATCAGGCTGATTGATGCATACTTAGTATTGTCAGTACTTCTAGAGCGCTGAACAACTGCATACATCATAAAAGACAGATTTAGACCAAACAAATAGACGGCCTTTAAATGGCATTATTTTTTACTAGTTGTTTCATTTTTCTTTCTGTTCCTTCTTAAATAGTTTATATTTGCAAATGTTGAATTAAAAGTGATCGTTCTCATTTTTTTTTTATTGCCTTTTTAAAATGCGCCGCAAATGTTTTGTTGGTGCATTTTATCTGTTCCAACTTATCTGGAAACCTCAGAAAAACTAAAAACTTGTCTATTATTAAAATGTATTGTGATGTTATATATTTTCCTATATCCCCACCCTAAAGTGACTGTAGATACATTTAGTTTAAAACACAGAAAAAAAAAACAGATTTTAATTAGCTGCATGAATTTACCAAACCTTTTATTTAAACATGAAGTAGGAAGATATCTACCACTGAACACTGAAAATTATGGGGCAGAGTTCAGACAACAGGAAGTGAAGCACTTCAACATCAAAGTTTCCCCATGCTTAGTAAGGACGGGTTCCCCCCACACCAACAATCATTTTAGCATTTAGGGAGAAACTGTTCTTTGAGCAGCCCAGACAGGAAACTTCCACCAACGCGTTCTCCCACTATTGTGAGATCACAGCAGTGTTTTAGATGTTGTCAGATAAGCAAATGTTCTTTAGCTTAGTCCTGAAAGTGAAAATGTTTGTCAGTGCTGTGATTCTGAAAGTTCCTTCTGCTCACTGCCACTTAACACTTTGTACTGATTTAAATAAGCATTCAAATAAATGCAAAAGGATGAGCTACATGTGGGGACTAATGTTAATGTCCATAGTTCTTTAGGCTTTGTAGGCTCTAGGTATATAAAGTATATTTGTGCCATATGTTATAAGTTTCTATGACTAAACGGATGTATTTTTACTTATTTAGTGTTAGAAAAATTGCCTGTTACATTAAAACTGTGAGGAAACACCTTCCACCTGTCTGTTTTCCCCTTAGAGAATCGCCTCCATGTCCAAATACAATTTATCATGGCCCTCACCTTCAATAAGCAGAATGTATGAAGGAGAACCTGCACTGAGAAGGCTGACTCAGTGGAGTTGATGGTTATAAATTTCTGCATCAACAAACGTTCTTAAGAAACTCAAGGAGACACAGAACCAGTGACTGGAATAACTGATAGGACCAGAAAATCCTGATTGCAATGTGTAAATAAATATCCTGTTTATGTAACAGCTAATTAGACAGAGCAAACACTGAGACCAGAGGCAATTAATTTAGTGTGAATGCATTATTGTGAAACTGGATCACTTGTACTAATAACTGCTTACTTTCAACAGTCAGAATGTTCATGCTTCATGTTAACACTTACCAACATACATGTCTCAGTTTCAGGAAGCTACATATCTGACTCTGTTAAACCACATTTTTATCTGAATAATCTCTTTTTCACTGGAAAGCTATCATTTTCTGTCTGTCTTTTCAAACATCTGAAAAAGAAACTCTAAATTATGCATCCTCGTTTGTTCGCTCAGGGAGAGCCGTGCCAGGATGTAATATAGTGGCAACAATAATCTTTCACTGAAGCACATTATAATTACAGTATAATGACTTGGTGAGTCAACAATTAAGGCTCCCCACACAATGTTTCTTTCCACTGACATCCCACAGGCCCAGTTAGTTCACAAGAGGCCAATTACGATTCCCCACTGAAATCAATTCTACTGCTGCACGTGTAGTTGGACCATTAAGTATCATTTTGAACTGTCTACTGGGACAGAGATCTTCATGTCATAAAGCGGAAAATATACCCAGTGACTGGCTTTCACTCTGCCAATACGTCCTTGAACAAGATTACACGATACGCAATGAAAGAAAAACAAAGACAAAATAAAATCTTAGAATGGCTATACATAAAATATAATTTCTAAGATAAAATACAATTAATCTAAGGGACTGAGTTGAAAACAAACCTATACATACAGATACAGAGCAGGAGGATAAAGTGGTACTGATGTGTATGTGTAGATGTTCTCAGTGGATCTTGTTATCTAACCATCATATTTCTTGTACAACCTACTTTTATTTAAAGCTCATTGATATGTGGTTCTACAGCTGTAACATTTGGGCATTTGGAGGAACAAACTATGCTGTCATGCTCAATATTGAAGCAATTCAGCTCTTGAAACATGAATACTAGAGCAAAAAAGAGTTCTGTTTTGGGAAGAATGTCAACCTTCTACATTCCACTATGTGTTAGCCTGCACTGTCAACACCCTGACTAGGCTGCATGGGTCATTGGCACTGCCTTTTGCAGCACAATTAAGTCTTAGACAGGGAATCTTACTAAGGAGGGTCTGACATCTCTAGTTCCATTCCTTGGATTTGGTAACTAAAAAACAGTGAAGTGGGGCAGGTTAAACGCAGGACACTTACAGCTAATTAAATGCATCAAGAATGTTAAATACACTCATATGGCCCCATGTGTTCAAATTTGTTAAATCTATATGGTAAACATATAACATGTAACAATGTGACATATTCTTATTCCCAAAAGTGGATCTTAATCACCGTCTAAAATAAGGAAATTAGGTAACACTTTATTTTGATTGTCCTCTGTAGATACTTTGCAGATGTTCAGTCTATTTTCAACAAGCATTCAACTAAATATCTAATAAAGATAGCTGAACCTGAGAACCTGAGAAGTGTGATAGATTTTGATATTTTATTAAATTTAACCCTGACCCCAACCCTAATCTTAACTTTAACACAAAACCTAAAACCTAAACCTACTCCTAAACCTAACCCTTACCCTAACATTGTGTATAATCAACTGAGAATCACATTTTCTTAATAAATATCTACAGATCATCAATAGGGGACCATTAAAGTGTGACCGCAATTTAATGTAATCAAACTCATCAGCATCTCATTGACAATATTCAAAGTAGTGCAAAATGACCAATAATATTCAAAGTAGCATTACTCGTGTGAAGGCTGGTTGACTTCAATTCACTTGATACCTCAGCTCAAGTTTCTAATTGCTGCAAGTCCTTTTGTTCAGCTACTGACTTACTTAAGCAAAAAGTGACTTACTCATTTATTAATGGCATGTTATCTTATTCAAGACTGAGCTAACAAGCTTATAAACTACAGTTCAGGCAACTCCAATGCTCGTTCTGAGTGCCTGATACACAAATAAAATTGCTGCTCCCCAATTCAACAAAGTTTAGTTAGTGTTTTTAGTCTTTTCCTTCCATCAAAGTATCTACTAGTTGTAAACAGAATTGATATAAAAATAAAACAATTGGCTAAATAACTGATTCAGTCTCTGAGATCTCAACATGTGGTCTACAATAAGACAAAACCTAACATAATAATAGACAAAACATAAATATAATAAATGATAATAAATTACATCATCCTGTATAAGGTCAGCACTTGCTGCATGTGTAATTGCACTGAACTAAAGATTATGAGTAGTTCAACACAGAAGTAAACATAGATGTGTACATAAGCAACAGAGTGCAAAGGTACATGTGAATGATCCACTGTCACTGGCTAATCAATGTAATAAAGCTAGTCATCTCTCTCTGAAATGATCTTTATTAAAATAAGAGACACATTATCTCATTTGTGCAACCGAGACAAAAAATGCAGCAAGTGTTTTGCATAAGAACAGAGAAAAGAGAGGTTCTCTTACAGCATTTAACATACAGATTGTTGATGCTTTGCACAGAAGGAAGGGGCACTTCATGACACAATAACATACATATTTTTAGCATTAAGATCACTGAGGTGAGGTAGTGCTTTTGATAGAGCTTTTAACATTTACATTTAGCATTGTTGCTTAAGAAAGTATTTCATAGATTGTTAGCAAGGCGAAGTAAAACAAATCCATATTTTACTTCATGAAGAATCAGAAAGGCACTTAAAATAATCCATTCATCTCAACCATTAAACATTGCCTTATTTTTTTGATGTTGTTAGCAATATGCTTTGACTGTTCTCTGTCTATCAATCTGTGCACAAACTTTTTTTGAATTATAAAGGACATTTCACAAGTTGGGTAAGAGCTCTAAACAAGTACGGAATCAAATCTACATACTTGTAGATCCATAAATAATGAGATAAATAAGAACCCTAAATGCTTCAAGAGACTGTGTTCAACCAGTGTCTAATTCTTTTCTCCTCAAGTTTCTCCTCGAGACATTTAATAAGGACAGGGTCAACTTTGGGATCAAACTTGTTTGCAAACCAGTGGCCGTAGTTCAGGAGCCACCGGAGTTCTGCAGCACCATAGATACAAACACTGCGCATATGTATTCCAGTGCAGGATGGATACAAAGTCCCTTCCAGGTAGTTCCATTTCACCAGGCGGGTCTTGCTCTTCAAGTCAGTCACATCAGGCTCAGATCGGGGGATCTCTCCTGGCACCCCAGGCACTCGTACCAGCGTGGCCCAAAAGTGCTCGTCTGGAGAGTATGTGTCAGCTGACCACTCTAGGAATTCTTTTGCTACCTGGCTAGTCTGAACATAATGGACAAAATCACGTGAAAGGACAAAGTAGGCACTTCCAATAAACATCTCAATGCCATGTGGCGGGGGTCTTTTAGCATGTGTAGTCCTAATGGGTAATTTCTGATACTCATATGGGACCTCCTTCAGTTCATGCTGAAAGACGAAGCGCTGTTTCTTTAGCTCGCTGGGTCGGCTTGACTCCAGCATGTTTGCCCCTTTTAGCTTCTTTAGCTCCTCCACCAGCTCATAGTTGGACCTGAGTGGGAAGTCTTGCCCACACAGATTGATAGCATACTTCCATTTGACCTCTGAACTCATTAAGTCTGACAGGCAATTGAGATCCGCATTGAGTCTTGTGACGTGCGCATACTGCACTGACTCCAGTTTGGAGGCGATGATTATGTTTGGAAAACATTTGGCCAGGTTGGTCACTGCTGCGATGAAGCTTTTGGAGGACTTCTGATCATAATGAATGCAATAAATGTTGTGTGGTGCATAGATGGCTCTGATAATCCTTTCCACCATGGGTATGTTCTTATGCACTACTAAAGAGTACGCCAGTGGAAAGTTTTGCTCCTCGTCAGTCACAGCGATGCCACTGTAGCCCCTTGCTTCGATGTATCTGGGACAGTCCGCAGTAAAGGACACAATACTCTCATCATCCAAATCCACAATGTCTCTACGTCTTATCTCCAAAGACTTGCCAATTTCCACTGGATCCAGCTGATAAATGGCTGTGCAGTCAATGGCATCTTTGTTAGGCTGAGCTTTGGATGAGCTTACTGTAATTCCATAGGGCTCAACGTAGAATCTCTTTCTCACTAAAACTTTCACGTAGACAAGCTTCAGCACAGACACAATGAACAATGACACGAAAAATAGGTAGAACTTGTGTCTCGACCTAGGTAAAGCAGCACATCCCATTTTCATCCTGTGGGCAAACAAAGGAAATAAATTATTGGAATTACTGCAGACATATCTATCATTATCCTTAAAGATGTATTCAGTTGGTTTTACTGACATATTCTCACAGGGTTTCAGAGTCTCCCCCTTCAAATTCAGTGAACCAAAAGCTAAAAGAAGAAACTGTCTGTACTGTTAACTGATTAGTAAGCGGTTTGTAAAAAACCCTCACATCTTGGATAATAATAGGTGTAGAACAGTGGAGGCATCTAAAATATTTTTTTTAAGTGTATATGCATAGCAGATGTGGGGATCATTCACTCTCAGTCCTTAGATTTTTTTCAACCAAATCAACTACAACCAACTACATGAATCCTGCTCCACTGGTTCAAGCTCTATAACACAGTTAGTAAGCATTACTTTATCTTCATCTTAATGGTACTGAACAGGGCTGCCCAACCACATTTCTGGAGCGTTACAAATCTGGATTCTGCTCCCAACACACCTGGCTGTAATAGTAAGTTGCTACTAAAGGCAGTGATTAAATACATCTGGCATGTCGCATTAGGGAGGGGGCTAAACCCAGCAGGCTAAAAGATCAGCAACAGGGTTGGGCCGCCATGGGCTTGTCTATCCAACTTACCTTGCACTCTAGGGGTGTCACTTCCTTTCTGACGCGTGCCATCAAACACGTTTTCTTGAACAACCCGTTGGAACAATATACAATACAGTCCAATGCCAGTCCAAGTCCACTTGATCACGTCACTGTTGAGAAACAATCAGGCTATAGTTAAACGGAGCATTTGTAAAACAGAGGAGTTTAACAAGAATAACCAAAACCCCCCGAACAACCGGGTGTGTTTGCACTTTACTCTTTCACTCATATAAGGCTGAGTCTAGACTATTCTAATACGAACAGGGACAGTGTGACGACTCAGAAGCTCATCTGAGTTAACAAAAAGTACACGACAAAGCACAGCACGTTTCGATGAAGCAGCCCCCCAATAACAGGAGCGTGTGTGTCAGCGAATACTCATCACACGTAATTCAGCCGCTGAATTTTGACTATCAAAAAGAAATGAAGCGGATCTTCTTACGTGTCTCCTCACATTTAGGAAAGTTCAAAGAGGTCGAGTCTACTTACTTGAAGTCACCCAGTGTGAAACCTTTTTCCCACGCGCCCTCGCTTAACAGCGAAAAAACGCACCAAGTTTAATCGCTGCTGACTTATTGGTGCCGCTGGCTTGAGGTGGGCAGTGGGCGGGGCTTAGCCGAGCAGCAGCCAATGCTCTTAACATCTGAACTATAAACCATTGAATGTGGTCAATAATACAAGAGCACAAAGCCACAAAGGAAACATGAAGTCCGTTTTACTGATAAAGAAGTGACAGAGACAGAGTAACGGAAACTGGGTGCATTTACTGAGCTGAACACATGTGAAAGTAAAATGAGTATTTTCAAATGATAGAAAAGGATGAAAATGCTAGAAAAAGATATCAAATGTGAGGAAAGTAATCTACTTTTCACTCAGTTTAGTTACTAGTTCCTCTGGAGACATGAAGTCTGCTTTATTAATAAAGAGGTGACAGAGACAGAGTAACTGTAACTGGCTGCATTTACTCAGTTGAACTCATGTTTAAGTAAGATGAGTATTTTGAAATGATAGAAAGGATGAAAATGATAGAAAAAAAGATATCAAATGTGAGATACGTAACCTACTTTTCACTCTGCTTAGAAACAGGTTCCTCTTTTAATTTCCTGCTGTTAGATCAAAAGCAGCCTCTGCACTGCTTTGCATTTGGTAACACCTCTGGTCTGAGCTTTATTATCTTATTTTAGACCAAGATGGCATTTCCTGTGCTGAATGTACTACTTCCTCTGCAGTTCTGTAAGTTATTCAGTACTCAAATAGCTTTTGATGCGATAGCTTTGTACTTCTACTCAGTTTTGTACTTGAGTCACTGTTTCACCAAAGTAACAATACTTTTACTTGAATATGTGTTTAGGCTACTCAGCCAACCCTTGGATAAGTTTCTTTTTTTATAATAAATATTTTATTACTATTTTAATAATAAAATAACCTCTGGTAACAGTAATTTAACAAACTGATTCTACATTCAGACACAGTTTTGTTAAAGGCATCAGGGCCAGTTTAAATAATTAATAATTAAACCAGGGACTCTAAAGTAACCAGGAACAATAATCGTTTAATAACAATGGTCTAAGCAATCATTTATTACTTGAAATTGTAAGGGGTACTTCTGTAATTCTGAACTTTCCTAACTTTCTTAATTTACTTTATAATCTAGCAAATGCTTCAGAAGACCCAGTCTTCGCTGTGTATGAATAAATCCCAGTATCTGTCCATCACGGAACAAGGCAGGAACTCTTCATCACTGATCAAGTGGACAGAGCTAATGGCCATAAAGATTCCTTTTGTCGATGACTCTGTAGAGAAAAAAATCAGTGCTTCCATTAATCACTTAATAGCAATCACTAAATAATGTCCTAATAGCAAGATAATGTTTAGAACGTTGCAGGCCATGCTGACTATCTTATAATTGACCAATTCCATTCAATCTAATCAGTCATTTAGTATATTCAGGACTTTTTGTTAAGAGTAACTGCCAGGGGTTACTGGTTTGTTGTCTAATCACCTTCCTTTCTGAGCCAACTACCTCTTCTACCAGTGTTGGTGGAAGCAGTTGTTTAATCTAATCTTAGAGCTTATGTTTATAAGAAATAGGTACAAATTTAGGAGGGGCGGGCTGTGAGAATAACACAAATGAGAACAACTTCTAACCACAGTGTATTTTTTTACTACCACACCTTTAAGAGGAAATCCTGTGCAAGTGGGCCGTCCATTTCCTGCATTTGAATTAGAAGTTAAACAGTAATCCCCCAGAGAATTTGATCCATATGTCACCTGTCAAAATGAAAATGTTTCACAGTGAGTTGTATTTTACACCAACCGCTCAGGCCAAGTGTTCTGTATTTAATGTAATTTCTTCAGGAACTTGTGCACTTTGTAAACGGCAAGTGTTCTAGGCCGAGGTCCATAGCTCTGCATTATAGCATTAAATAATTCATATACAAATGCATTTGTCTGTTCTGCTGAGAGCAACACTGACAGGTAGGCTTCGTGCAGGGAGCAGTAATGTGCCACCACCTTTGGATCTTATATTTGACCATCCTCATTCAGATCTCTAACCTTTTTCGAGGCAAAATCCATGGAAGCAGGGGTGGCACTGCCTAGAAGAGAGCTGACTGAGTGCTCTGGAACTCTAAAGACCTTGTTGCTGGTGGATTTGTGGCAAGAACCCTGCGATAAAAAAGGAAAACACAATACTTTCTTCTTAATATCCTTTAAAATATGTCTGCCTCTAAGGTATGCTGAGAGAGTATTAAAGTCAATTTATTGCATAATGATAATGGGTTAATTATGGGTTGACAAATCAGGAAGACATTACTCAGCAGTTTTAAAAATGTATTACTATTAGTGCCAGTTCCAAAGCATTGTCTCCTGCCTGATTAACTCCTTTCCTGATTAGACTGCTTAACGTCCTACTATCATCAGTAGTTTCAGCCCTTCCTAAACTAGGACACGCCATGTTTGAGATAACACTCTTTGATTGCAGGTCTGAGGGAATTTTAATGGAGTAATCATGTTCACACACAATATAGTCTCCCTCATTATAGTCAGTCCAAGTTTGACTGTACAGCGTAGCATTCAGCTCTGTTGAGGAAACAGTGCTAGAAGAGTGCTTGTCTGGGAACATCTTCAATTTATGCTTCAGTTCATCCTGCTTCTGTAGGAGCATAAGCAAGTGTTTCTGAAGAGAGGTAAGGTCCAACAGATTTTCATTTATCTTGCTCTCATGGTTAAAGTCAGGTGTTATCCTGCAATTGAAATCAGACACTTTGAAAAACAATTTCTCAAGTTAACAGCATACTTAAGAAGTGTAAAGATGCAAATATATTTGTTAAATGTATCTTTGTCGTTCCTTTTGTTGCATGTGTTTATATGAAGAAAGAAGTCAGCATTCACCTGAAATTATTACCAAGGTGAAACTTCTTTGCTTGTTGTTTGAAGAACACCCCATTCAACACTGACTGCATTTCTAGTAAGGCATCAGCAAATCTGTCTACATGCAACAATAAGGACAAAGAGTCCAGATTATATAGATTAAGAGATATGCTTTGATTTACATTCTTTACGCCAGATATTTTTAAGCTTATCTCACAGATAAAGGCATTAAAATTCATGTTGTAAAGACTACCTATGTGCTTTAAGTTGACAATCATCAACAAAAATGCTACCCAGCCATGTCCTAACAGAGATTTACCATGAAGATTTTTATTAAAACAAAAAATACCCCTATCGTCAGGCTCTCTCAATTTCCAGACTGACATCTCTATCTGCTTCCGTTCCACTTCTTGAAGTGTTGACTTCATTCATCAATTAATGAAAAATCATTAATAATTCATCATTATCATCATGAGCATATGCATTTTTAACTGATAATGTCAATATATGTTACATAGTAAACTACAAAGGGCAGTGTTACTGACTTGGATAGATGCCTCTTTACAAACAGCACTTTCTGAAGTATCCTTCACGTGTGTTTCTATGTCATCTTCACAGCAGGAGGCAGAAGGTGGTGGTTTGCAGACTTGATTGTCTGAAAAAAAGAATGTAGAAGATGTATAAAATTCATAAAAACAGATAATCTGATAATCTGCACTTAAAAATATCTTTTCTCCTGTCCCCTTCTGTGGCTTATGTCTCTAGGCAACAATATTACCTTGCAGTATTTGTTCATGGGTCAAAGTTTCAGACCCTTGCTTGTAAGATTCAGTCAGCTCTCCAGGTACTACCACAAGAGGTCCTTTAAATGTCAAGAGCAGCTCTTTGATGCTCTCTTGTTCTGCAAGGTCTATTGCACTCTTTCCGAGTGCATCCTTATCATGAGGGTTTGAGCCGTATTGAAGGAGGAGCTTCACGACCTGCACATAAACGTAAAGACAAGGGATCTGTGGCTTGTAAAGGCAGCCATTTTAAAGTGTGGTCAAAATAAGACTGAATTACAGGGTGAAATGTGTCTGGATGGGTGCTAAGGCCAACTTAGAGCTGAAAGCATTTGTAACATATGCACTACTGTCACAAATTTTAAACCATTATGTTGTAACAATTGTAGTAAACAATTAAAAAACACTTTTAAGTAAAATTTGCAGGGGTGTCATAAAAACACAAAAATGTGTTTTAAAATGTATTTATTTTTTAAATAACACTATTGTTTACCTCATATTTGCCATAAGAAACAGCATCATGAAGTGGAGTAACTCCTGTCAGCCCTGTGTTGTTGACATCTGCCCCTGCCTGCAAGAGCTGCTCCACCACATCCGCACAACCTGCAGTGATGGCCTCATGTAGAGCTGTCCATCCTGTGCACAAGACTTTATTTATCATCATAAGAAGAGGTATCATGACTAATGACTCAATAATGGGCCACAAAGGGGCATAAGTATTTGAAGAGAGTTTTGCATTATGGGTGAGATATTGAGCTTTTAACTAACCTGCATTGTCTGAAGTATTGATGTTGATTCCAGCTTTGAGGAGCCTTTTGACCAGCGTCAGGTCTCCTTTCTTGCAGGCCCGATGTAGATAAGTCTCTCCCACACTATTTCTATGGTGGAGAATTCTGTTGGTAATCTTTAAAGTTGGTTTTGTGGCTATACAGGAAGAGTAAAAATGTCAAATATGACAAAAATACTGTATGTGATTTTCACTTCACTTGTTTCACTTGACTGAATTGTAATTTGATATGTGAAATAAAACACAGTTTCACCATACAAATATCAGTCTAAGACAAATAATGTTTATATTATGAAGTCACCTGCATCAACACTGTTGGGTAATGTGCTGAGCCTCTGTAATTTTTTCCTTGTTTTCTTTCTGTGCCGGCTTAGTTTGTCACTGTATGACACCTCTTCATTTTTCACAGCTATCTGAAGATCATCTTCTACACTTTGCGTACCTTGATTGTTATCTAGTGGTGGAAGTAAACATAGTGATGTCTGTGCCAAGGGTCTCAGCATGCTGACAGAGCTCCCTGTGTCTAGTAAGTCAACTGTGTCCTCTATTTGTTCTTCAATGCTTTGCTCAACAGGAGATTTATGCAAGCCATGCTGCTCACTGTAGTTTTCATTATAAGAAATGCTGGCCTGTGGAACGGCATTTAAGTTTGTCTGAATGATCACACCTTCTCCACCTTTGTCTGAGGTCTTTAGGTGTTGCAGATCTTCAATGACAGTGCAGTCTGAATCAGCAGAACATTTGGCATCTTCTTCTACATCTGCATTTTTATCTTCAGCACAGGTCAACGCTGGTAAGTTTCCAGAAACACTAGGATCTGAGGTGTTTCTGTTATCATTAGTACTGATTTTATCAATACTGTTACTGCTTGAAGGGCTAACTAAGGATTTTTTCTTTTCACATGTAGAACTGGCTTGAAACACTGAGAAACCAGCTGGAGCAGTCTCAACTAAACCTAACTCTAAACTGCCACCAGCCTGCCCCTCATTGTTTACTGGGCCATCTGTTTCACTAGGGCTGACATAAGCCTGACTGCAGCTGAGTTGTGTCTCTCCATTGTTTTCTCTTTGCTTGACTTGTTTGGTTGGTGTGTCTAGTGTCTGAGGATGACATTTCACAAAGGTTGATACAGTGGAAATGACTGTCTCTTCAGAGCTTTCAACTGCCTCTGTGCTTGTCAGATTGTTCAGAGTGTCTGTATTGGTCTGAGACCATTCAGAGGTATTATCCATTGTGATAGGCTCATTGGGGAAGTTAAGCAGTAGCATGGATTTTTGTTTCTGTTGGCCTTCATCAAAACAAGACTGAGCTGTGACTGATTTGCTTGACGTTTGACTACTTGAATGAGTGACTTTTAATGTCTCACATGTTACATTTAATTGCCCTAACACTTTTTCTCCCACCTGAGGCTCTGGGCTACAGGTGAGTCCTTGGTCATGGATTACACCTATAAGCAAAGATGGTGATCCAGTGTCAGGTGATTCAAGAGATCTCTCCCTAGATACTGGTGAGTGTGTCACGTTTCTTAATGCCAATCTCCTATTATCCACCACAGACTGCCCTTTTGACTCGATGATTTCGTTTATACAGGGAGCAAGAAGAGAAATACTGCATTCCTCATTTGAGAAACTTTGAGTATGTGAGGTGTGTGTATCTTCACAAAAGGCCTCCTTTTGGCAAACAGCAGGATCTGAATGGTGATCATAGACATTTCTGTTCAGATGAGAGGCAGAACCATCTGGTCCTCTTTTGGTCACACTGCCACTTCCATTGTTCATCACAAAGACACTGTTCAATTCAAAGTTGAGTAAATAATCTAAAAATGCACTTGTCTTGTTTGACACTGTGATTCGTCTGATCTTTTTTCTTGCCACAGTTTCATGATTATCTCTGGAACCATCCAAGACCCTCTTTGTTTTATTTTTAGAGCTATCCCTCCATGAGCCTTTGTACTGATGTGGATTACTTTCATTACCAGCTGAAATCAAGTTCTGAAATAAATGTGCAGATGTTTTAAGCACACTAAAAGGATGGTTTAAAAAATAAAACATTTGGAAAACAAACTGTTCTTAGTGTTATGATTTTATTAGCAAGCTCCGCTGATACTGATAATGGAGAAAGCATCGCTCACCTGACTTAAATGAAGATCCTCATCTATGGTGTTGGCATCTTCTCTCACTGTTTCACCAACTAATCCTAAAAAATCATGAACATGTTCAAATAGAGGCAAAAGGAAAAAGAAAAAAATAGCCAAGTCAAATTAGGGCTCATATCACTTTTCCAATCAAAAGAGACCAAGCCAAGATTAAATATATATTTTTTTATTTAATGGAAAGGGATGAAAGGGCCAAGTTCACACAACAAATCGTTTTCATAAAGGGAACTGAAGCAAACCAGTTAACAATAAGTAAAAAGAAATACACCAATGTCTGACATATTTAACTCTTAGGAAACTTATATACATCTTGAAAACGTAGCTCCAGCAATGACAGATTATAACAATGAGGGGCAGGCTATGAAGTGGCAGCTGGTCTAATGCTTACAAATAGAAGAGCTGTCAGAATATCAAAATGTGCCCACACACTGACCTCTCTTCGTGTCTTGTAAATTATATATTTTAACATCAAACAGGGCTATTAGCTGTCATGCCAACATCAATATGAAGAGGAATCTCCAAAACATTTTTTTACATAGACATTTGTACATTTATTATTTATTCATGTACAGCCTCAGTCTGAGGTTTGATAGTCAGCAGTATCATACTAACTTATGGATCCAGAGAAATCCTGAGTGGCGCTCAAAAACCAGTGCCCAGGTGATGACGAATGAGCCTCTATGTAATCCACAGTGATATCACTCTCAACATCACTGGCTTTGGAGGATGAGGTATCTGATCCCAGAATCTCCTGATCTTGAACCAGTAAAGAGCCACACCTACCGGAATCCTTTGCTCGGTCTCTTAGTGGGGGCATAGCTTGAACTGAAGACTTCACTAAGAAATGAGGAGAGAACAGCTCAGATTCAGCAAACTGAACCGGGTATGGAACAAACATTCGAGTAATAATTCTAGTAAATAACTGGGCAGAGCCAGTTCCATTTATCAACAAGCCTGTGTTAAGAACAAGCCTGTATAATTCTCTTTGGGCAGAAAGCCTTGCGCTCTCATCCATAAATTTCTACTCCCAATTCAAATCACTTATGCTCTAATCATTTAGCCAGTTTATGAAAGATGGTGCTGCATTAAGGCTATAGGGCCATTACAGCATCCCCCTGCTTGTGCATTTTTAATGTGCATAGAATAAATATTACATATGCTATATCTTGTTCTCCAATCCCCAAGGAAGTGATGTACCTTTAGGGGAGGCCCTTGTTTCTGTGGAAGAGTCATGTGTTTCTTCTCCACTATCTGCATCAGGACCAACACAAGCTTCAATTTCATGGCTCTCTTGAGTGTTTTGTGCTTCAGCAGATTGTGCCGCCCTCTGGGGGTCATAGAAAAGATATGAAAAAAGAACAATCCTATTTCTGAAAGTAGGAAAAAGTGCAATTTAGCGTACATTGTCACTTAAGATACTCTTGACTTAATCAGAAAGGGAAGAGCTTTAGAGAAGAGATATGCCATTAGAAATATTGTTTCTGACTGAAAAACAAGCTTGTTCTTAGAATCTTAGTTATGTACCTTTTTGAGATCATCAAAGATTCTTGTTATTCTGTTTCTGTTATTAACGTATCAAGTAACGATGAGACATTAGAAAAATTATTGTAACTTACTTGACAAGGCTCCTTGTTTCCACTTTCACAAGAAGTGGAACATGATACGCTTTGAGCTGTTAGAACAATATAACAAAAATAACACAAACTCATCACACCAGGACAACACAATGTTGAAAAACGATATTTTAGATAAAATTTAATATTTTCACAAAAAAAGTAGTTTTGCATGAAGGTGTTTATACCTGATAAGCATTGTCTTTTGACAGTTGGTAGATATTTTTCCAGTAGCTCCTGTATACTCATGTCTCTATTCATGTCTACAGCAGCTTCTCCCCTCTTGTTCTTCAAAAGGGGATCAGCACCATGTTTCAAGAGCAGGTCTATAGTCTAGAATCACAATGCAATTGAAATATATGAAATTGAGAAAAAAAGACTGGAATAATGGTACAACAAGCTCATAAGACACAGAAAGCACACACCTTGAGGTCACCAAGATGTACTGCATCATGCAAAGGTGTGAGTCCATTGTATCCTGCAGGGTTGACTTGAGCTCCAGCTTTAAGCAGAGTCTCTACAATGGTATATTGCTTGTGCAACACTGCTTCATGAAGAGGCGTCCACCCTGAAAAAAGTATCAGTATATCATGTTCAACTTTTATAACCCTGGGGATCATATGATGGAGCAGTTGTTCAGAAACGTGTGATCTGTCAAGCAATGAAGATGTTCTTGCTTTAAACATTGAGTAATCTGAACCAAGATCAGCAGAACTGCAGAATGCTGCAAGCATTTATGATATAAAGCATATGGTATCCTTCGCCATATTGTACCTGCATTATCTGTCAGGTTGACACAGGCACCAACTTTAATCATGTCTTCCACAGACTGAACATCTCCCTTCATCACAGCAGTGTGCAGCAGTGTTTCTCCAAACCAGTTTCGTCTGTGAATGCTGTTCACACTCACAACTTTGCCTGTCTTTAGGCTTTTAATGGCTATACCGCGAAAACCTAAAAGAATAAATATGTTATACTCCTACATTTATCCTATTAATTTCCTTTGGTCTGTATTTTCTGAGCTTGCCTGAGTGCAAATCTGAAAACAAAAAATGAAATCGACCAAACCATATGGCTAAAAAGTGAGTTTTATGACTTTATTTATCATATTAAATTAAGTATTTTGAACATATGGGACTACTGACATTTAACAATACAACAGACAATCCCAATTTGACTGTTAATGATAATATTAAATAAACTGGAATAAAAAAAAAGTATAAACAAATGGGCAACGCTAAGTATACTACACAGAATTTCATCACATTAGACCACTCAGAACACATTCTGGGGCGTTTTTCTATACATGCCAAATTTAGCTGTTGGACATGAATGGGTTTATCATCTTTCTTTTCTTCAATTAAGGTGACTAAAATTTTTTCATGTCTTTTCATGTTATCGTACAGTTGTGCACTTGCCTGGGCTGCTGTACACTTCTTCTCCTAGTCTCTGCTGACCCCCTCTGGATGGATGAGATAATATGGCACTCTTCTTAGGCCTACTTTTTTTAGATGATGTATCCCTGCATTTTGGCCTAAGCAAAATTAATGATATTAAGTGAATTTGGCAAATGTTGATTGACTGTTGAATTCACAGGCTCTGGTAATTCATCAAAATACTTGTAATGCACAAATACTAGTAATTTATCAAGGGCATGCTAGTTACCATACATCTCTGAAACTAACCTGCTCTGACTATATTTATGCTTTATGACTTCTGACTTTCCCTTCTCTTGTTTTTCTACATTTTTTTGAGTGTAAGCTTTGTTGAGTGTTCTCAATGACCGTCTAAGAGGTCCCACATTCTGTCCATTGCGCACACTCTGTGACAGATCATGAGAGAACGGAGAATTGGGAGTTTGAGCAGACACTGGTACAGGGGCAGGTTGAAGCTGACAGTCCTTTCTGGACCCAGTAATTTCATTCTTAAGATTTGTGGCCTTGGTACAGCTTCTTCGGCTCACTGAAGCAATTTTCACTGTTCCCACTGCCTCTGTAAATAGTACACAGAAGTAGAAGAAGAAACAGTGATGGCAAATAAAACTGTAACCAGTTACAGTTGTGCCAATCAACAGCCAATAGATGGCAGCAGTTTCAACAAAAGGCACAAAAGCACAACTCTACTTAGATACATTAATTCGTGTATGGTCTACTTTGACATGTTTAAAAATAATTGCTTCTTCTGAGCTAATTATGTGAGATACATTATCATCTATTTCATAATCATATTATCATATTATAATGTGTTATTTTGAACAGTGAAGTCATTGTACAAATCACATGCACAATCAAGATTTAACTTCATTAGTCAGACACTATTTTACTGGTGCCTGGTGTAACTTCATTTTAGGCTGTCAGCACAAGCTTTCTTTTATATACACTCAAAGTACCTGTCATGTGTTCCACTTTTGCTGAATTATCATCACCACTGGTAACAGCATCCCTCCTTATAAAGTAAAATCAAAACATGTCAGTGTTGAATGTATGGTCTTCCCTACACAGATACTGTGATTTGCAAATGTAAATGTTATGTAATCAAGAATACAAACCTCACAGAATGAATCGGTGAGTTGTCATCAATCTGTGTGACAATAATAATAACACAAGAATTCCTTTGTTAAGGGAATAATATTTTGTAGAGATATAGAACTGCTGAGTTAATCAGTCTGAGCTCAACATCAGTATTACCATTTAAAACTGCCAAAACAATGCGATCTGTGTATGTTTAACTGCCCATCACAATAACACAGGCTAGTGCCTGACCTGTTTATTGTCACTGTTTTTACAATAATTTACCTGTTTGTTTTCAAGAGGTCTCTTCGGCACCCTGCGAGGCAAAATGTCAATCTGCGGAGAAATTCCTGCCAAACAATTATTGGGTGAAGAACAATAAAATCTATATACTCCAAATCCAGTTATATAACCTGCCAGCATGGCTGATGCAACTAGGAAAAGGGCAAATTCAAGTCAAGGGCACAGTGCTGACTTATTATCATCCTCAATAGATCAAGGTCACTTACCACTGTCAAAAGTCTGAGTCTAAAGATGATTATATACATGCACTACATGTACAAAAGTATGCAACACCTCTTCTAATTAGTGAATTCAGCTACTTTAAGGTGCATTCATTGCTAGCACAGGTACTCATGTACTTCTAAACCCAGAATTTATTAAAGTGCCCAACCTCGCTAATGCTCTAATGGCTGAATGCAGCCAAATTCTCATAGCAATGTTCCAACATCTACTGTAAAGCCTCCATAGAAGAGTAAAGGCTATTACTGCAGCAAAGGGGAAACAAACTTTCAATTAATGCCCTTGGTTTCAGAGGAAATGCTAAATGAGCAGGAGTCTACAAACATTTGGACATAGAGTGTACGAAACACTATACATATCCACACAACGTTAGCTAGCATGACTGTACTTACCATTGTCATAAGAAGTTAATGGGTTACTGTGAGGAGAGGCTGAAAGAAGTCCTGCGGTGCCCACCATCAACAATCTGTTTAGATTATTAGCTAAGATAAATTACATGATACATAACTGGTCATTAGGGGCCAGTTTCCTAGGCCTAGATTAAACTAGTCTCAAATTGCCTAGATAAAGCCTACCCTTAAAAAACCTCAATGATTATGTAACGTTAACTTTGACTCTGCAATTTAGTCTAAGACTAGATCCAATCCATATCCAGGAAACTGTCCACAGACATAGCAATTGAAGCTATTTACTTCAGTTTAACAGTACATTAACTTCATGGTGCAGTAATGCGTGTATTAGCTAGCTACTACACTATTAGCTAATGCACTATTAATAGTGTAGTAATGCGTGTTTGCTAGTATAACTCAGTATGCTGCTAGCTAGCTAGCTACTAGCTAACGTTACCAAAACAAAAACCAGCACACTGTAGTTAACAGCTGGCTAGCAGCATTACTGATTTATACTAGTAATACATGCATTCTACACTATTAATACACAATTATATTAGTAATGGTGCTAGGTGGCTATTATCAAAACAAAAAGAAGCACTCTGTAGTTAGCTAACGCCACCTAGCTGTGGTAAACGCTGAAGCTAGCTAGCTACAGTCTAACGTTACCTCTTCATGTAAAAATTTTCGTCTACTTCTTCACTCTCTGGGTCAGTTAAAACCGCCTCCTCTTGGTCTACAGCACTACCCGACTCCATACTCACTAGTCTCGAATTTATCTAACGAGTTAGGTATGTTTTATTGCGTAGTCAACAAAGTTTATCGCTTCTTCTTTAGGACCAGTTTACCTCAGCTAGCCCGCGACCGTTTTTGCCCGCGAAACGGCTCAGTGAGATGCGCAGATCTGATGCGCAGAAACTGATAACAAATCATGTAGCTGTGACGTACATAAACTTTTACGAATTTATTCAGTCAATAAATGTAGTACTTTATTGAACTTTATTGAATTCTACACAGTAATAATTTATTATCTGAATAATCCCTCATCATTAAGGTTTTGATACAAATTTTAAAGGAAGTGTTAAATGCTGCATTTCTCTAGAGCCAAACAGTAAAAAAAAGGGGTGAAACACATCCTTGTGTGATTTTTAAATGTATTTTAAGAGTTGGAGATCTCAGAAACATCATTAGTCGAAATGTTGAGAAGCACCAACAAAGTTGTGTGGCAGAGTGGCAGGCACTTCATGAAATTTGATATAAATGTGTATGTGTTTGGAATGGCAGAAATCAAATAAATCTGTTTCTAGAAATATAGTTGTTAATTGGAGCCTATAGTAAATAGTAACCTACTTTATCTGGAGAAATTGTTTAGTGTACGTCAACTGTCCAAAGTGCTTTGAAATTATTATTATTATTATTATTATTATTATTATTATTATTATTATTATTATTGGTTTCCCTTTTTTCTTTCACTTTTCCAGTTTCAGTGTAAAACCACTGATTTTGTTGGACTCCCGAGTGGCACAATCGACTGTGAGGCTCCAAGACATTTATTTCTCTGAGTGGTAACATTGTTGAAAATGAGTTCTAGTCAGTTTCGGGCTTCTGAGCCGTATGTACATTAAGTGCTGTCCAACATAAGATCATGTACTCATCTGGACAGTGTTTTAACAGAATGTAGCTATCTGCAAGGCTGTGTGAGATGAAACAACTTTATACCCATGGATTTAGCACACTGTGTGCACTCTTTCAGATCAAATTTGGGGCATATATGTCCAGAAAAAAAAGCCTCAGAAAAAATATAATAATAATAATAATAATAATAATAATAATAATAATAATATGTTTAGTGAACAAACCCTACATTTTATGATTAGATGTATTTTATTTTGCAAGTAAATCTTTGGACCAGTGCAGTCCACGCATATCATTCAAATTATGGGGAGATCACGCGTCCTTGGCCGGGACACGCCTCCTACAGCGTCTCCTCGGAGATGGGCGTGGCTTGTGCCTCCGCATACGCGATGTGCAGTTGTGATTGGCTCAGCTGTGGAGTGACGCAGAGCCATGCCACCGCTCCATACGAATTAGAGGAGGATGCCGGTAGGCGATTGGTTTCAGCACTCAGTGCTCACTCAGACCCCCGGCTATGGATTAACACCGTCCTTAACGCCACTGCTGTTCTTTTAAAACAACATTAGCTAAATGTGAAAACTGCATTTAGCTTTTAGAGCCCCTTTAATTCGTCGCTGTGGAATCATCCCAGGGCCGAGCTGACGGTGCAGCCTGTATGTGAGAATTCATTAACTGAGCTTTCAGCGGTCTAATTCTCTGACCTATTCTGACACGGGTAAGTACTAAAGCTCGATCCGATCTTCTGCCCTTTTTATTGTTAAGGTGACATTTATATCATTTGTCAGTCCTGTTCCATGGACTAATTTTAATAAATGTCGAGGCCTGGTGTGATTTAGGTATGAGAGCACAGCGCAGCTCGGAAAACGACACTGACCAAACATGATCATCTGTTTTTATTCACTTGTTCTATATAAATACGCACACATTACAAACCATTCACTCTGAAGAGCCGAATCACTGGTCACAGCACATGGCACAGGCTTGTCCATCACTAAATCGGACAGCGTGAAAACGTCAGTTTGTCGGTGATTAAATAGCCTAATTGTGGTTAAATCTGACGTTATTTGACGGTCTGGACCCTGTCCAGCGGTCTAGGTAGATTTGTCCACTTTCCACTCGTTTGCGTTGGAGTGAAGAGGTGGTCCAAATGACTCAGCTGTGCTGATGATGGTCGCTAGTGATGCAGTTCCACATCAGCAGCAGATTTGCTTAAAATAAATAAGAGTTACCTGGAACATTAACCAGCCATACATTTTTATTTCCATCACGTTTCATAGAGCATGTAGCCTTAGCGTTGATATGTAGGCCTTTTCTCTTTATTCTGGGATTCTTACCACTTTAGTAACACAACCTCTATAAAACATGAATAACAGTGTAATCATAACGTGAGCCTTATTACTTAAATTAAATGCTACCACTATGAACTTTAACTCCCATGACACACTCTAGGCTACCACAGTGTACCATAAACTCAGAGCATTAAAGAGTCCATATCCTGTATATCCTAAAGACCAGCTTATGATATTTGTGTGGTTTTATGTATCACAAAAAACAGAAATTTCTAAATTATGGCTGTTGATCATAATAATAATAATAATAATAATAATAATAAGTATCTCTTAATCCCATAAAATACAGAAATGACCTCTGTTCTAAACTGTTGCCCTGTATTTTGCCTCATTCTGAAAGCACTCTAGGCTTAAACATTCCTTATAACTTCAGCAGAATGGGTGAGCTAACTTGTCTTCATAGTTGAATATAGGAAAATGTCAGAGTTTGTGACATCACAAAAATGATTGGATTCAAAATGGGTCATTTTTGAAGTTTCTGGGCAGACGAGAGTATGTTTTTAAACTTCAAACTTCAATTTAAAAAGAAAAGATTTGGTTTTACATTATGTTACATACTTGTGTTTTCCATGATATGGGCCCTTTAATAAGCAGATACCACTGGTTTTTGCTGTGTTACAAAGAAACACCTATATCATGTGCCTCCCTTTGCTTGCTATAATGTATGTAGCATTTGTCACCTAAATATATACTATGGGTTTAAGAACAAAATAAAAATCCAGAGAAATTCAAATTTGTCCAAGTAGATTTTTTTCATTGACTTTATTGTTTTAAGCATGTTGCATAACACCTGTGTGACGGTATGCGAGACTCAAGTTCAAGTGTTCAGAGAATTGGATCATTCCAGTCCTGTCTGACAAGACTTTCTCTCACTCCTCCCATCCCTTCTTCTCTTTCTTGTTCCCTTTCATTCGCAGTTGTGTGTTGTAGTGATACATTGGAGAGACCAGAATGCTGACCAGACTTTTTCGTATCCATGGCCTGTTTGTGGCCTCCCACCCCTGGGAGGTGATTGTGGCAACAGTGACCCTCACCATCTGCATGATGTCTATGAACATGTTCACTGGCAATGACCAGATTTGTGGCTGGAACTTTGACTGCCCCAAATTTGAGGAGGTGCGTTGTATTACAGTTGAAACGCTACATAGATCACTAGCTGTAGATTGTAAAGTTGTCAATAATAAACATTTCCCTTCTTATTGTTGTACAGCAAGTCCTCAGCAGTGACATCATCATTCTGACCATCACACGATGCATAGCCATCGTCTACATTTACTTCCAGTTCCAAAATCTTCGACAGCTCGGATCAAAATATATATTGGGTAAGACTTTGCGCTTTATATAATCCTATGTATTTATATAGGATTTTGCTCCAAATGTATTGAACACCACCTGAATTTTCTTTTTATTTAGTACCTAAAGTTGTGTGCAAAAGTTTGGGCACCCTGTCGAGTTA